TAGTAACCTAAAACTATATTAGCCATACTAATAAGCCTAATAAACCTATTGCTGTTTTTATAATTAACATTTTTAAACCTATGAAATTATGTGCTACTATTTTTTTAATATTTATTATTTATATTTTATGTGTATGAGTGTACTGCCTGCATGTGTGTAAGTGCACCCGTGTTGTGCAATGCCAGACACAGAAGTCAGAAGGCATCAGATTCCCCCGGAACTGGAGTTACAGATGGTTGTTAGCCACCATGTGGGTGCTGGGAATCGAACTCGGGTGTTCTGCAAAAGCAGTCAGTGCTCTTAACTGCTGAGCCATCTTTCTAGCCCCATGTGATACTATTTTAAAATAGCAAACTAAGGCCAACTGAATTAGTTATAGTGATAAACATAAAGAAAAGTTACTAAGCAAATATTGGGTAAATATTTTTTAAAGGAACAGATGGCAAATTTATGAAAATATACTTAATCTCTCTAATTATTATACAAATGGAAATTAAAAGCAAAGTGAGATATTACCTCAAACTGGTTAGGATAGCCTTTATCAAAAGACAGGTAGTACCAAGTTCAGGGTCTCACACTTGTAATCTCAGCATTTGAGAGACTGAGGTAGGAGGATCATGAGTTCAAGACCAGCCTCAATTATATAGTAAGACCCCATCAGAAAGAAAAGAAGGGGGGTGGGGAGAAGGGGTGGGAAGGAGAAGTTGTACATACATATAATAAAACACTTTTCGGTCATTAAAAAAAAAAAGAAATCCTATCATTTGCAGCAAAATAGATGAACCTGGAAGGCATTTACTGTGTGAAATAAATAATGTTACAAAGACAAATATCAATGGTGCCATTTATACGTGGAATCTAAAATGATTGTGCTCATAGATGCAGAGTAGGATGGTGGTTGCCAGGAGCTAAGTGGGGCTACTAGTGAGTTAGGGAGCTGTTTGGCTAGACAGGAGGAATATTTTCAGGAGATTTATTATTCAACATGGTACCCATAATTCATAATCATATATTGTATACAAGAGAGTAGAAAAAGGAGTGAATCCAAACAAAAAGAAAGCGGAAAGCAGGCATCATACTTTTATCATCCATAGGCAAGATAGAAACCTAGGAAACGTGTTAAGCTACATAAAGAAAGATTTTTGTGTTAGCTTTCTGCCACATAGACAAAATACCCGAGAAATTAGCATATTAAAAAGGTTTATTCAGTTTGTTTAGAGGGAGCCAGTGGTGAGTCAGCTGCTTTGTGGTGAGGTAGAGCACCATGGTGGGAGCATGGGGCAAAGCTACATCACAACTTAGAGTGCAAAGGAGCAGAAGAGAGGACCAGGGGCCCACAGGACCCTTCATGGCCACACTCCCAATGACCTAAGAGACTAAGTTCCACTTCTAAAAGTTCTACAGTGTCCCAACAGCACCACTCTGGGGAATCAAGCCTTCAACACATGGGCTTATGGGAAACATTCAAGATCCAAACTGTGCCATCACTTTAATTCTATTGCTGCAATTTCCTATAAAAGGTTTTATATTATAGCTGTGCATAAACTGTTTTACACCAAAGATATCCATGAGAAACCAAAAGAAAGGGAAAAGTAGACATACATAAACCACCACCTCTCAGACCATGAAAGATCATGTACAGCTACTGAAATCTAAACAATGCAATTAAAAATCAACTGCAGCTGATGTACACCCAACCACAATGCTCCTTCTCAATGCAAAAACTTTAGAATGTATATGATAGCTCTAGCTTTAACAAAGGACACAAAGAGAGACATGCAAACAGCAACTGCAAAGCTCTTAGATTTCTTTGCTTTAAGACAGGGTCTCGCTATGTAGCCCTCATTGGCCTGGAGCTCCCTACGTAGACCAGACTGGCCTCAAACTTAAAAAGATCCCCCTACTTCCTGAGTGTTGGAATTAAAGGCCTGTGCCACCATGCCTGACAGTATGGTGAGACTGCCACCCCAGCCCTGGACTGCCTATCTAGGATTTTTTTTTCTTCAAAATGAAAAATCCCTGTGTACTTAAGCTACTATGCTTGAATCTCTGTTATATGTACCTACCCCTAATCCTAATAGATGCAGACTTGAAAACAGAGAATGTTCAAAGAAAGCACCCAAAATGACCTTATATTTAAGACATGCACATGCACAAACCAGACTCAAGAAAACACATGGAGGGGCTGGAGAGATGGCTCAGAGGTTAAGAACACTGACAGTTCTTGCAGAAGACCTGGGTTCAAATCCCAACACCCACATGGCAGCTAACAACTGTCTGAAACTCCAGTTCCAGTGGATCATATGACCTCTTCTGTCCTCCACAGGCATTGTATGTAAGGTGCACTTAAACATACATGCAGGCAGTACATGCATACACATAAAATAAAAATAATAAATTTTAAAAAAGAAAAAAGATGGCTGGAGAGGGCAAGGCAGGAGGAGGCATTTGTCTTCCCCTAGGCTAGCAGGAGGTCAGGTGCATGGACAGATGAGGTCATAAGTGGCACAAACTCAAGGGCTCCTCCTCCTTTGGCATGTCAGTTTCCCTGTGACATGGGCATGTCAGTTTCCCTTGTGACAGTTTCCTTTGTGACAGACCTGTGTGAAAGGTAAGAAATCAAGCAGAGGTTAAGATCTGTAGGCATCTGAAAATGCCTCTAGAACGTACAACAGGAGGCTAGGGAATGAGCAACCGCTTTGATCTTCCAAAGGAAAGCATGGAATTTTGATTTTCAGTTTGCCATGTAGAAAGGGGAGAATGCAATTGTTAGGTTTTGGGTCTCATTACATGGGGAAAGTAGTGTTCCAGAAACACAGTGGAAACAAAACCCTTTGTCCCTCAAAGCTTGGGGCCTTGGAAGCACAAAGCAGTTATGTTTTGTTTTGCTTCATTATTGCCTGGTTGAGATGAATTCTTCAAGCCAGATCCCTGCATATCAAGGACCTAAAGTCATACTTTCATGAAGAAAGGCAAAGAAAATTTACAACTCAAGGCTAAAATAAGCCTAAAATTAAATGTATTCAGTCAAAAGTCTCTAATTTGTTCCCTGGTAGGTGCCTCATTTTATTTTTTTAAAGTTATTAAATTAGTAGTAATGGATATTTTTGTCAACTTGATAGCATACATAGTTGCCTGCGTGGCTAAATTATTTTTAAAGCAAGGTTTCATTGTGTAGCCCAGGCTGGCCTTGAACTCACAGCTATCTTCCTGTTCCCATCTTCCCAGTGCTGAATTTGCAGGCAGGAGCTATGCTCAACACATTTTGAGTATTCTGTGGTTCTTCAGGGAACACCGCCATCTAGTGGTAGGTTCATTATAATCCGTTATCAATAAAATAAAAAGAATCCGTCCGGCAATGACAGACCAAAAGCCTGGGCCAAACTGAGAATTAAAAAGCAGAGCTGGGCCGGACATGGTGGCGCACGCCATTAATCCCAGCACTTGGGAGGTAGGGTCAGGCGGATCTCTGTGAGTTCGAGGCCAGCCCGTCTACATAGTGGGGCTATAGGAAGACCCTGTCTCAAAAAGACCGGAAGAAAAAAAAAAAAAGCAGAGCTATAAGCGTTCGGTTCCCTCTTTAATAGAATAAAGAATGTTCCTTCAGAAGTGTGATCTACTCTAGACCCAAGAGTTTTAATTCTAATATAGTCTGTGTTCCTCATTAAATGCTCGTGGTGACGGGAAGCTGCTTCTCTGGACACTGTCAACTGATAAAGAGCTAGAGCATCGATTTGTGTCCTTCAACTCACAGGTCTAACTGTCTATTCTGATGTAACATGGAAAGTTGATAGATTCTGCAGCCTGACTTCAAACACATTCCTCTTATGTTACTCTCCGGTAGAAACATACCCTTTTCTTCAGTTTATGCAAATTTTAGATCCCTTGATCCTGGTCTTCCAAATCTCTCAGACATATTTTGCTCCATCCGTGTCAATTTTAATGCAGTTTCCCCAAACAAAATTGACAGTCCACCTGGAGCTAGCAGATCGCGGGCTTTCCTGTTAGCATTATCACACTTCTACCCTACTTTTGAGTCACAGTTGCTCCTGAATAGCTTAGTGCTATATAACAACCATAAAAACCGAGTGCTGTAAAACACTAAGGTGTAAGGGCACTGTTTACTAGCAGTATATCCATAAACTGTGGCTCACTCCCTTCTGCTCTGCCAACTTCTACCATATGCCTACTATGAGATCAAAGAAGAGAGGTGATAAAAAAATGGCCTCAGCTCAGCTCAGCGATGGAGCACTAGCCTTGCATGCACAAAGGCTTGCTTTTGATCCCTAGTACCACAAAACAAAATTTGGTAACTTCTGGGCACCCACCAGAGTCCTTATAAAGACAACCTCATACAATATGAGCACTCCAGGGGGATCTCGGAACCCCCTAAGTCAACAATGGAGAGCAAGGGCAGCTGGTGTGGCAATCTGAAAAGCAGACGAGATTGCTCCCATCAGTGCCAGGCTACTAAGAATTTTTCTGAGGACTCTGTGGGGAGATGAATGAATACTGTTTTCGAAGTTGCAGCTTTTACTGCACAATAGCATCTTTTGCAGCCTCTAGCTTCATTTCTGCTTAGGGAAATGCCATTGCAACTCTGGACAAATGTTTAATGTGGTTGGCTGCTAAACATCTGTTAATAAATTAGATACATCCCACAAAAAATGGTTTTCACTTTGACTTATTCTCTCCAATTTCTCAGAATAATACCCATATCCCTATGGACACATGATAAAGATGTGACTTAAAACATTTTACTCTGTGGTGCTGGGGATTGAACCCAGGTCCTCATATCATTTTTACCATTGATACAGGAAAACGGATCACTGTAGTACATATATATATATTCAGCTACTGTATAAATGGCTACAAGTCAGAGTATATGAAGTAAACAGAATATGAAGAAAAGATATTTTATTAGATAGCAAATAATTCTTAGCCAGTTTTTTTTTCTGTCTGTGAATTTAGTTTGATTGTGTCTTATTTTTATGTTCCAGGGACTTTGAAGGCAACCATATCCATAACTTAAGAAATTTGACTTTTATTTCCTGCAATAATTTAACTGTTTTGTAAGTAATACCTTATGTTTTTGAAGTAATGTTAAATTTCCTTACAAACAAAATGAATCCTTCATGTGGACAGAAGCCAGCCCAAGCATATGGAGAGGCAGAACAATGTGATTCCTTTCCTCTTCTATCAAGAGGGTCATGGTGAACAGTCCTGTAAGAAGCCAGGTTAGCTAGAAGAGCTTGACAGATTTGTTTCATCAGTTTCACGTAACTCGGGAGTCTTTGATGATGAAGACAAAAGACACAGGAAAATTTGTCCATGCTTATGCTTAGGTTCCTCTAAAAAATAGACAGCTGCCGGGCGTGGTGGTGCACTCCTTTAATCCCAGCATGTGGGAGGTAGAGGCAGGCAGACCTCTTTGAGCTCAAGGCCAGCCTGGTCTACATAGTGAGTTCCAGGACTGCTGGGGCTACAGAGAGACCCTGTCTCAAAAAGACCAAAAAAAATTATATGTATATATATAGACAGCCATATTGAAATGTGACTGGACAAGTAGGCTAAGGATTTATAGTGATGGACTGAGAGAGGAAACCCAAGGCAGTGTGCCACATAGCTCTTCACCTCTCTGTGTCATTCCTTCCTCTTAGGTTTGGGACACAACTCTTCTGGGATATAGGTCTCATAATCATCTATCAGACAAGGCATAATTGGGAACTTCTTTATGCCTGATTTATACAGAAAGCCAGGAGAGGCTGGAAATGTAGCACAGTGGTGGATGGGGTGCTTGTCTTGCATACATCAGGCTCCAGATTTAATCTTCAGTACCAAATATAATGTAAAAAAGACCAAAAAAAAAAAAAGGTGAGGGTGAGGGAAGGCTAGAATGATACTTCTAGGTTTAACAGCTGGCTTTGAGGAGAAGGGCCTAGTTTTATGGTCTTCCTCCAGGGAGGAAGAACAACAGGAAAAAGAAGACCAGAAGTCAGGGAGCATTCCAGAAGGAGGAGTGGAAAGATTTTAAGAGCCAAAGGTCAGGGACAGCAGCTATGAAACAGTGTCTTCTGGACATAACAGGCAGTTGCACCCATGACCTTTCAATAGCTGTGGTTGCCTACCCAAGATCTGCACAAGATCAGCCTAATCAGTATTCCAGCATGGATGAGGCAGGGCTCACAAAGCCCTACCCCTAACTGAGAAGTCACAGACAGTCCCTGGCAAGTTGCTCACACAATGGAAAGCCCTGCATGCACATGCATGTGGACAACACTGATGGACTCAGTAAGTTTCATTTATATATGAATATGAAGTTAGGATGGAAGTGCCTGGGAGGAGTTGGAGCAAGGAGTGAGGAATGAATTTGATCAAAATAAAATGCATTAGTGTATGAAGGGAAAAAATAAGCAATTTTTAATTACTTTAAAAAAAACAGAAGGGCAGGAAGATATTGCTCCTGAGGTCTTGCCAGTGCCCTTTGGTTCAAAGTGCTCAACTCACCAATGTCTTGTACTTTGGGATATCACTTTCAGACACCCAACACACTAGGTAGGGCATGTTGTTCACTCTGCACTTCAAGTTTGTTGACACCAAAGAACATAAAGCTCAAACCAAGGGTAGTCACAGATTTAAACACACATGAATCATTACAATGGCATGGCATGGCATAATGAAACTGTGTTATCTGAGAACTATTTTCCTCAAACTTAATAATACACAGACCCATTTTAATGGAAAGAAATTCTCACACAGCACCAAGAAACTTGAATTTCAGTTTAAAAAATATTGAACTGAGGTCATAGTTTGTAAAGATGCTTATCGTTTGCAAATTATTACTAGAAAGATTGTTTTTCTTTATAATTGTAAATAAAAAACAGACTATAGTCAAAATTTTTTAAACACTTCAGAATTCTCATGCCAAACAGGATAAAGCTTAAACTGTTACAGAATAGACTCTCTTTTCTTCTTTTGTCTTTCTGGTCAATTTTATTTTCTTAATATTGCTTTGTTTTTGTTTTTAATTTTATTTTTTATTGAATCTTTACAATTTTCATCTGGTATAGTTTGATAGTATTTCAATTCCCTCCCCATCCTCATCTTCTTCCACTTCCTTCCACCCAATTTAATTTACTCTCTTATATATACAATACAGTCTATAGGGTCTGATTTGTTTCCCCGCATGTCCTTTAGTGTGGGTCCATCCACTGGGCCCACCAAGAGTCTCAACCCTGTGAGACTATCTTTCCTCCTCCCAGCAGCCATCAAGTTGCAAAAGTTCCTTGAGTTGGGTTGGGACTTTTTAGCCACTTCCCCATGTCTGTGCTGGAATTTTGTGTGGTTTGAGCTTACACAGGGTTTGTACATGCTGTCACCATTGCTGTGAATTCATATGGGTAACTGATCAGCTATCTGGAAAACTCTGTTTCTTTGTCGTCATCCACCACCTCTGGCTCTTACAATCTTTCCGCCTACTCTTCTGCAATGATCCCTGAGCCTTGAGAAGCAGAGGTTTGATACAAGTGTCCTATTCAGGGATAAACACTCTGCAGACTTTTTTTCTCTGCACATTGGCCAGTGTGGGTTTCTGTGTTAATCACCATCTGCTGAATAAGGAAGCTTCTCTGGTGAGAGTTGAGAGATGCATTCATCCTGTGTGTAGACATTGCTTTGAAGATGTGTCACTTAGGGTTAAGCGTCTCACAGACACTTATTCTCTGCATTTGACCAGTTCTAGGACTCTGTAATAGTCTCCATCTGTTGCAAAAATGAGGCCCAATTTTAAATTCATATTCCCTTCTCTGTAAGAAATGGAAAACACTGGGATTCCCTTCAATATCAAAACCCAACTCCCCAATTCACAGCTTTTTTTTCCAGAATGTTTTTCAAACTCTTTGTTGCAACTACTAAGTAGTGAAAGTAGTGTTAGCACAACCAATTTAGCAAGTCCTGACCAACACATTTTAAAAAGATGTGTGTGCATGTGTGTGTGTGTGTGTGTGTGTGCCACATGAGTACAATGCCCACAAGGCCAGAAGAAGGCATTGGCTCCCTTGAAACTGGAGTTACAGGTGGTTGTGAGTCACCCAGCATGAATGCTAAGAACCCAACTCGGTCCTCTGGAAGAGCAGCAAGCACTCTTAACCACTAAGCCATCTCTCCAGGCCCTAACCAGTACTTTATAAATGAAAAAGAATTATGTATCATAAAAATTACATATCAGAACAAGAACATATCTCAGATAACAATGCAGATAGTAAATGTCTTATCTCATAAGTCTTAGGTTGTAAATGGTGGATGTGTAGACTGTATGTCCCAATGCAAAATACGATATTTACTGGGGCCCATTGTGGGAAAAGTCAAAGCCCTCATCATACAACATCTAACACACTGTATTCAGACAATGTTATACTTACCATTGAATGTATCAGGGTATTTTTCCAAATTCTGACATCCATCCTGATGGGTTCCAAATCATAAAAAAGTGTGAATTCTTCCAGTGAGTGGATCTTCAGATACAGGGTGCTTAATATCAGTATTGCAAAACAGTTCATCTAATTTCCCAGAGGAAATCATACTGTACCTAAAGGTAGCAGACTAAATGAGTATCTGAAAAATCTTCAAATTTGTTTTCTATTCTACTTGCATTGACTTTTAAACTTCTGTGTGAAAGAAAAAAAAATCATTTGGGTTTCCTCTTGGCAGGTGTCTGTGGTTTGGGTCCAGGGATACCAGGAGACGTGACAATGGTTTGTAGTGGTTTAAAGAATTAAACACTTAAGGATAGAGCAAAGCTACCTTGAAAGCATGTCACATGTGATTTAAATAGCAGATTAGACTAGGTGAGAGGATAAGTTTTCCTGTTTCATTTATATTGCTGTGATAAAATACCTTGACAAAAAAACTACTTAGGGAAGAATGGGTTCAGTTTAGCTTTCAATTTCAGGTTATAGTCAATCATGAAGGGGAAGTCACAGTGGCAGGAGCTTAAAGCAGCTAGTCATATCACATCCAGTCAAAAGCAATGAGAAGTAAATGTATACATGCTTAATGCTCAGCAAGGTTTCTTTTCTCTATACAGTCCAGAGTTCAAAACAAGGGGATGGTGCCATCCACTTTAAGACTGAGTCTTCCCATAGCAATCAAGACAATCCCCTACAGACATGCCTGCAGGACACTGTGACTCTCTTCCCAGGTGATTCTATGTTGTGTCAGGCTGGAGATATCATCTGCTCAGTGGTTAAGAGCACTGGATACTCTTGCAGAGGACCCAGGTTTGAACCCCAGCACTCACATGGTGGCTCACAACCATCTCCAGTTCCAGGGGAATCCATACCTTATTCTGATGTCTGCAGGCACTGCACAACATGGGTGTACTTAACATACATAAAGGCAATATACTAATGCACATAAAATAAAAATAATAAAAAACTAACGATCACAGATTAGAAGCTGCCTCTGTGTACTAAAAGAGAGGAATCCTTATAAGAAAGAATATAATTTACAGCTGAAAATGTGGAGAAAATAAGGGTGGCACAGCAAGAAGTAAATCAGCAGAACACAGCCTCAATGGCAAGGTGCCCTGGCAGGAGGGGATGTAACAAATAAGCCGTTGGCGCTAGTGAAGAGACTGGGAACCCTACAGACCTCCCAAGCCTCAAAGGCAGTGGTGGGTTTGGGTGAGATAGTCATTCCTTTGGCAGATGGATCAGAAGTGGAGAGAAACCCATTGTTACTCTTCATGACTTAGAAGGTAGAAGCCAGGTGAGATCTTGAGGAAGAGTCTATAGTTTGAAATTAAGCTACACTGGAGACCTGAGAACAATAAGATGTTGAATGCCCCCCAAGCCCACCAGGCTTGGGTCTTCAACAAGAAAGAAACTCAGACAAAAGTCTGAAGTTTTCTGAGGAATTTATTTAAAGAAAGGTAGCTACAGGTAGGGGAGTGATTACAAGAAGCCTGCTTCTGTTGTGGGGTTCACAAATCTTATATAGGACTCAGAGTTGGGGTCGCCAGGGAGATTTTCCTAACAGAAACAAAAAGGTAACTATGGATACAGCACGTAGC